AGATTCTCTCCAGAGAAGTGCCTCCACATCCAGAATTACTCAATACCCGAAGCTCTATCTCTCTGCCAAGTTTCATGCTTGTACTCCAAAATGAGCAATCCACTCAAAATTTTTCACCCAAACTGCTGCACTAAAAGTAGAGTTTCCATTTCAAAGACGCGTATGTGAGTTTAAACCCCTGAACTTCTCTTGCAAGACTCAGAAGAGTCAAATTTGACCTTTGTGGGAATCGGTTTCCGGTTGTTGCAGAATCATGCAAACTGCAGACTGTAGCGTGACTACTGTACTTTCTCGAGGTTTTCGCTGTCGTTCAAGCAAGAATAAACACCCGATTTTAATTAATATTATTTCCTTGAAAATGTTTTTGCTTTTCATAAATTTAAGGTGGCCAACAGTCATAGTTAGGGTTGTCCACAATATGCTCGGCAACTTTTTGTAAATTTTAACGGCTTTTGGCAGGAAATGACGTCACAAAGATAACGATGAAAACTCGTTTATTCGTTTCGCGTGGTTTGATGGCATATTTTTGTAAGCCGAAAGCCTGAAAAGATGAAACTGAAAAAAAAATATTGAAATAAGTTCATCCAATAAAAAGATATTGGCCCTTGAAATTTGAATTTTTTGATCGTTGTTACTATTTTTAGATTTTAAGCTAACTTCAACGTGACATATTTCATGAACGAATAAAGATATCAGAATAATTTTTTTCACTTTTGAAATTGTCGAACCATCTTCTTTCATTTTGCATGATTATTTTGTTCAAAGGACAAAACTGAAATTTGAAGGTAACTTAGCAACGCCTTTTTCCCGCAAAAAACCGTTAAAAGTGGAAAAACAAAAAACATACGATTGCTTAGAAATAAAAATTCTATCATCCTGCCAATTTTCATTTTTGTCCGTAAAATATATAAAAAGTTGCTTGAAGATGATCACTTTTGGGGTATGTAGATTTGACGGGATTTCCGAGAAATTTGGCCAAAACAATCATTGGGTAATGCGGAGCAAAAGTGTGTCAGCGATCCTTTTTACAGTGGAACCCGGTTAATACGGACACCAAAGGGACACGAAAAAGTGTCCGTATTATCCGGATGTCCGTATTAAGCGGGCTGATATAAGAGAAAATGTGTGTCGTCGGGACAAACAAAACTGTCCGTAATAAGCTGGTGTCCATATTAACGAGTGTCCATAAAGCGGGGTTTCACTGTATTTGAAATATTTCTCTCGTGGTGGCCATTCACAAATTATTTGATACTAGAACTTGACAGATCGATAAAAAGATAACCAAAAGGAATAAAGGAAAATGCTGACACACTTTGAGATATTGATGCTTTCTGATTGACACTATGCAGTTATTTTGCATCAGCGATTGCATTCGATACGCGATTAATTCAACGGAATGACACTCGGTCATTTTGGCGTTTACCGGCTTCCATCGCCCTAGAAAAAAATAGTCCAAATAAGTTATAATTTTTTTCGAATTCTTCATTTAAACCTTTCTTTTAATATATAGTTTGTGGTGGTTGCCTTAAAAACAGCGTGGGTACGAATTTTTTTCTGAAGGACACCCTTGAAGGTATGGTGCTGTAACCTTGAGGCCGTGGGTACGAGAGAGTGACCTGCGGATACGAAGACGAAACTGAGGTCTATGAAGTATATGAACAAACACGAAGGGGGTGGCGGGGAGGGGGGGGGGGTATGAACTTTCACACATCTGCGATCCCCCAGTTTTCCTTCCTGATGTTGGTCTTCATATCATGATTAGTTTCTCTGGGCTTCCTCTCGGTGTTTTGTTGGGTCGCCCCAAATTTCCTCCAAGTTTCACAAATGTAAGTCAGGTCACATAAACAGAATGCGATTTCGTAAACTACTCCACCTACACACTTTCTTTTTTGTCGACAAAAAGAGGCCGGGGACTTGGTCTCTACACGACAAAATGAGCCTTTTTTTACTGAATTTTCGGTTTTAATTTTCCCTTAGTCTTGAGAATCGAAGGACTCCAAACGCGAAATGTCCTCTTTTTCGGCGATCGAGTATTCTCTATTCTCTACAGATTGTTTCTTTCTATTTGATACTCTAAAAACTGAGGTGTATGTAATTAATTGTAAGAGGAGAGAAATACCGTCCTCAAAAATTTAGAAGCCAGCTAGCCGGAAAGCCGAAAGACGCCATGTTGTTTGCCGTGTTGTCGGGTAAAATGCCGCTTTTATACTACCCCCTAAAACCTTAATTAATTTCCTCGTGGAGGCCGAGCATGCGAGGTTTATAATTTTGTCCGTCAAAGAGCTCGGCTCGTCTGGAGTTTACGGTCATATTTATTTATTTATATCTGACGATGGTGTGTGGCCGGAAATGAGGTCACACGGCGCACTCGTGGCCTAATGGTGTAAAGGCGCTATCCTTAAACCTGATCTTCGGGACTGGGGGCGAAAAATGTAGACAGAAACAGGAACGCCTACTCAAGAATTACTCCAAGTTTAGCTTGTGTTTATCGATCGAATTTATATGGGAAAGTTTAATTTGTTGTTCGAGATGTACCTTCAACAACACTTTCTCCGCATGTCGTGCGACTTTGTTGGATATTTAACAATTATTCGCCAAAGGCGAAGTGAATATTCACCAATATTCACGAGCCTGAGGCGAATAATTGTTTTAGTATAATTTTCAGAGGTGAATATCAAGAACTTCAAAATAACGGGCTAAAACATGGAAAACAACGCACATGAGTACCGACTGGTTTGACTGGTTACATCAATTGCGAATCAATTTACACATCAATTTTAGCCGTGAAATTCATTAAAACATAACGAAAAAGACATTCATCGGGTACCTTTTTTTTATCGTTGGTTACTTCATGAGAAATTGTAGGTATCGTCTGGAAATCAGTAGCGTCGGTCCAAGAATAGTAAATTTCAGCCCGTCACTCGATCTGCATATATGGGAGTTTGTCATCGCTGGCGATCTACGAAACGACTGTTTTACGATTTTTAAATGCCTTGAAAACCACTTCTTGAAAAGAGTTTTGGCCAAAGTCCTTCGTGGTCATTTTCCTAACTTCCCAGTATATACTTTGAAGATACAGGAGTTTGAGTGATGTCTTCAGAATAAACGAAAATTTCATTCAATAACCAGCCGCCATGTTTACTTGCCAGCATAGCAAATGTGGCTTAGCTTAGCAGCCGCGCCATAAGTTCTATAATCACCTTGCGGGAGGTGATTATAGCGTCATAAGCCGAGTTTCTCGACCAATCAGAATATAGGATTCTCATATTCACCTCTGAAAATTATACTAATATAACATAGCAAAAACACGGCGGTTCTCGATTCTCCTTCCCTCGTTGAACAGTCCAAAACAAGATCGTGAAAAGGAAAGGCGTACACACAGAAGTCGGGAGACTAAAACTCCAGTCGATCTCTAAAGCCTGATTATCACTCTCTTCCGGTGAGGACCTGCGAGTCACGTATTACTAGTCCTAGGCCATCAGAGCGCGCGCTTCGCTGAAGTTGTGCTATAAATGTACAATAGGACATAGGTTTTCGACCAATCAAAACGCGCGTGGTATCTCAGTTATTAAGACGAAAACAGGTCATGTGACCTCTACGTGCAAAGGGCTTACCGTATTTCCTCGAATAAGCGCCCACGCTCTAATAAGCGCCCTCCCCCGAATAAGCGCCCACCCCCTCGGCCAAAATAGCAAATAAGCGCCTCCTCGAATAAGCGCACCCCTTCCCTCCCCCTCACTTTCTTAAATAGTAAGGATATCACAAGAAAAGCCTGTTTCTATTGTCATCTTTACGTACAGTGTATACCAGGACTACGGTATTCACAGAAGAAAGTTTAACAAACGAAAAACATTAATGTTTATTACGTTTACATGGATAATGTTGTAGATTTTTTCCATATGAAGATTGAGCCAAAATAAAGTTACAGTTCGTTGAAATAAAAACTTAATAAGCGCCCCCCTCGATTAAGCGCCCTCCTTTGAATAAGCGCCCTCCCTTTGAGCCGAAATTTTAAATAAGCGCCCGGGCGCTTATTCGAGGAAATACGGTATTGTCTATATTTTTCGGCGGCAAAGAGTGTATTATTTCTAAGACAACTTCACATTTTCCGTTCGGAACCACTCGTTACAAATTTATATCAAGGAAACACTAAAAAAATCACCAATATTCTTTGTTTGCAATCTTTAATAAAACATACTATGTCTCGTTATCCTGAGACAGCATAGTACATGTGATCTGATAGGGCAGTCAGTTCCTCAAACTATGGACTATGCTTGGACTATGGACTATACAGTATATATATATTTATATTTGTTTAATTAAAGGCGGAAAAACATCACGTCGGATTAATCCAACGTGCTCTTATGGGTTTATTACGTCAGTGAACCCATTAAACAAGCCGTCTATCACTGTTAACATTATATCTTATTGACGTCGGGCCTGGTTCATACTAACAGTGTGCGAGCAGATCCGTGCTAAACTCAACACAATCTGTTGAACTGGAATGTCGAACTGAACTAGTCATACCAAATACATTTTGTATAAAGCGGTACAAAATACAATAAGTTACTGTATGACTTAAGCTCGCAAAGAAACCATCTCCAACTTACCATAAAAGCTCTATTGAACCCCTCTCTTTCATTTCCGCAAAACCAAATAAGCACCCGTCCCGTCCCGGGAGATTAATAGAGCTTTTAGTACGGTTGATTCCAGAATTGCACTGGTTCGACACAGCAGTAGCACATTACACTTGCTTTCTCAGTATTGTTTTCTCACTTGGAATGGGATTGTAAATAGTTAAAGGTAAAGGTAAAGCAACTTTATTTATACACGGTTTTGTGTTTAAAGCTAGAAGCTTGTGGGGCCGTGTATAGAAACAAATATCTCAAATATACATAACATGGTTGAAAATCCCAACTGGCGGGAGGCAGACCAGTTGGCTATTTACAGAGCTCAGCCAAGGAGTTGAAGTCGGGGCAACCGACAACAAATCCAGCGAATGGAAGGGTGGAGGACTTGAACCCGGGACATCCGGATTACAAGTCCAGCACACTAACCACTCGGCCACGCTGCCTCACTGCTGCCTCACTGTTAGTTTACTAACAAAATCGTTGAAGTAGTAATGGATTGCTCATATTCGTGGCTACTGTAACTAAATTTGTATGTGTGTCCTTATCATCCTAAGAAAATGCCACAAACTTCACAACAATTCTACATTCTCTGGTCTCCGTGGTACACGCGGGCAGATGTCTGGAAACGATTCAGTAATACTCCACTAAGCGCACCATACAGGAGGAAAGAATAATTCCAGTTAACTGCAATGACAGAAACATATGCCATTAAATTAGGAAACGGGTTGAACTTAGCACCGATTTAGACGGTACGATTTTTGTTACGAATGCCGCTTTCGACATGCTTATGACATGATTTGGGTGCCATTTATACCCGCACGACTTTGTAACGACAATCGCAAGCAATTGCAAGTCGTAGGTTTGATTTATACGAGAAAATTAATGTCGTAAGAAGGTTGAAAGCGACGGTTATGAGCAAAATCCGTGCTATCTAGATCGGCACTTGCACAGCTTATACTGTCCCTTGACACAAATTCCTTATGAATCTCACTCTTATGAGCAATATTTAAATCACACTGTACCATGCATGTACTACCATTTTCCGTTTTCCTCAGTACTTACCTGAACAGCGCTTAGAAGCAATGTTAGCAATCCCAGAATATACACGTGCTCACGAAAGTACTCGCTTAACGTTGAAATACAGCCCTGTGAAATAAGAGAAAACACTCTGAATTAAAGAGGCGACATCTTCGCTGCAGTAATATAGGAACTTAAGTCTGAAAGGATTCTACTTTAGCGCCCTCTTTCAAATAAGCGCCCCTTATAAGCCCCCGGTTTGAAAGTGGAAGTTGGGTGCCTGGGACATCCAGGAGCTTACCACTTACTAATGGGCGAGAGGGGTGGGGAGACAAAAGCTGAGGACTGAAAAACTCCAGCCACGAACAACGTCACACATAAGACACTTGAGAGCGCATGGAAACATGGCACATGTGCGCATGCCACATATTGGTCACAGGGCGTTCACTGGCGCTCTTTGTTGTTAACTACATGGAATTAATTTAACTGCACTTACAGAGAAACAAGAAACCCGCAATTTTCAAAGCCTGAAGAAATTTCGGGCTCCAACGGGATTGGAACCTATGACTACTCGATCAAACAACCGCCCTGATTACTTTCTGAAGTCATCAGTCACAAGACCTCGTCAGTTATTAATTTCTGGCCTTCACACGTGCGTCTTTCCAGGGCTTTCCATGCAATACTATTTCATACCTGATGGTAGATATTTGAGGGATGGTCTCTCTTGCCACAAGCAGGCGATACTGTCTTGCAGCATGAGTCTGGAACTGACAAATTCGCATTCTCAGGCATCTGCTTCCAAGCTGTTATGTTCCACGACGAAAACCTCAAGCTACCGCAACACTTGTGCTAAAAGAAGAACCATCATACCTCAGTACTAATAATATGTAATATATCAAACACGAGAGACAGTGTTTCATCCGATTTCCAAACACCGAGAAGAGAGTTGAAAATGCGAGCAGCGGAGTGTCCGGAGTATTTTTTGACGAAATTCGAGGTGTTGGGATAACGGATGAAACACTGCCTCGAGTGTTTGATATATCTTCTCAATCGAAACTAAACAGTAAACGGAGAAATAAAATCGTAAAAAAAATTATCCGTCACGGTTATGATTTCCTTTATTATAACGCGATGAATTAGTTATCACTCCAAGTCAGGAATTCAACAGAGCGACTAATTTGAGATTGTTTTACAACGAAATACTCTTTGTTACCCTTTGTTGAAGAACGTCAAATGATTCTTTAACATCATCTGATGTACCATACTCATTCATTCGGATAACGATGGATGCATCTAAATCCTTCTCAATCTAGCAACAAATAAAACATTAAATGATAACAACCAGTTAGGATGATAACTCCTTTTTCACGTTAACCATTTTAGTATTCGCGAGATAATTAACAATTATTGGATGAGGTTTTTGTGATATCCAGAATAATCAAGGTCGAGGTAAGAGTTATCAGCCTCAGCATTCTGGATATCACAAAAACCGAATCTAATAATTGTTTTATTATCACATTCAACGAAAAAGAATAACGCTTCTGCCACCGATGTTACTTAGCGGCAAGCAACGCAAAGCGCGCGAACTTGACATGATTACCCTTGGAAATCATGCACCGCGGTCATAGATGATATGATTACCCGTGTCCTTGACATGATTATTGTATAATCTGCAGGTTTTTACCCGTAATCCTCTCGCTAATCTGCAGGTAGATGACGTAGATGCTTTCAAAGGCGCTGATTTCGAAAATTCACTGTACGCTTTCGGACAATCAGAAAATAGATAGTGAGTTGAATGTAAATTATTTGTTCTTCTTTCGACATGAAATCACACAAATACCGTAGAATAATAAACACTATGTTTTTGAAGGACAGTTCAGTTTATATAGGCGTAAGGCACTGGAATGGAAAGTTCTGAGTCCTAAATTATTGATGTTGGTAATCGTAACAGTTAAGTTCGTTTCCTAGTGATATGTCTGTGAGCGTCTTTTTACATAATTAATTAGTCGGGACAATGGCCAGTACAAATTTTGGGGAGGGGGGGAGGGGGGGGGGGGGGGGGGGACACGAAGCGCGATCTTTGGGGTGATTGGTGAGGAGTATAAGGTGCACGACTTTCACGACTTTACCATGAATGAAGGTAGCTACTTACATGAGCCCGGTGTACGAAAGCTACAATTCCTATCGAGACTTCAATTATAAAGATCAACGTCAACAAGATAAGGAACTGCAAAAGAGATACAAGCTTACACAGTTAAACCATACAAAGGGAAATTTGCAAACTTCACTATGCTTCACTAGACATACAGATTATACGAGGGATGATAGACGGAAGGCCCAGAGATTCTTTCTGAAATCGTAAATGGGATCATTATTCTCTACAAAGATTTCATGTATCACGTGTTCAACTCTGGGAAAACCAGAAACACTGGGGCGACAATCTATTCACTAGAATATACTACTAGTACTACTGACGTATGGACGTAAACTAATTACCGAAATAAGAAAATATCTGTGTTCTTTCACAACTCCATAGCAACCACAGATGCACACAATCATGATGAGACCTCCAGTGCCAATCATTAGACCAACTATGATCAGAAACCACGAGCTTCCCAGAAGCACACTGTACTTGCTTTCAAACACTAGCGTCCAGGCTCCAACTATCACCAGGGCTACGCCACTCAACTGAAATATAATGCGTTTGATTAGGTCAGACCTCAGACCTCCCCTCCCCCCACTCAACTGGAATATAATGCATTTGATTAGGTCAGACCTCAGACCTCCCCTCCCCCCCCACTCAACTGAAATATAAATGCGTTTGATTAGGTCAGACCTCAGACCTCCCCCCCACTCAACTGGAACATAATGCGTTTGATTAGGTCAGACCTCAGACCTCCCCCACTCAACTGAAATATAAATGCGTTTGATTAGAACAACATCCTCTTTTTTAGGGCCATGTTTAGGTTGCAATTTAGCGAATCAAGTTTGACTGATACGCGGCAAACGTCTCCGATCTCTAAATACTGTATAAACCATATTTTTACGACGACAATCGTGAAACCATACCCTGTTTAGGACAGGTTTAGACCCTGTTTAGGACAGACTTGCATGAAATTATATATCCTGTTCAGGGCAGAGAGGCCAAAAACCATACCCTGTCCAGCGGCACGTCCCCGTATAGGCCACATAAGGAACTTAAGTTCTGTATAAACCTACCAAATTATACATTGTGTAGTTTTATCTTATTATATATATTTTTTTCTCTATACATCTGTATAATTAAATAAATAAATAAATAAATAAATAAATAAATAAATAAATAAATAAATAAATAAATAAATAAATAAATAAATAAATAAATAAATAAATAAATAAATAAATAAATAAATAAATAAATAAATAAATAAATAAATAAATAAATAAATAAATAAATAAATAAATAAATAAATAAATAAATAAATAAATAAATAAATAAATAAATAAATAAATAAATAAATAAATAAATAAATAAATAAATAAATAAATAAATAAATAAATAAATAAATAAATAAATAAATAAATAAATAAATAAATAAATAAATAAATAAATAAATAAATAAATAAATAAATAAATAAATAAATAAATAAATAAATAAATAAATAAATAAATAAATAAATAAATAAATAAATAAATAAATAAATAAATAAATAAATAAATAAATAACTAACTTTGTCTTTGTAAAATACTTCGATACCCGGCATCATTTATTAGACGATCCAAGGTCGCTGTGGCCTATAGGAGGTTTAATTAAATCCGCAAAGCAAGCCAAGGTATTTTGTTATAGCTTGACGTTACGACTAGATAAGAAAACAACGACAGATAAATGATTGTCTCAGATGGCGACAAAAATTATCATTTATAATCAGTAGCAATGACTGATATATAGTCCTGATATTGGCTATTACCGGAAATCTTTTACATATTGATCCAAATGTACTGAACCTTTGTTGTCAACATGCTTTCACAGTAGGACTATAAATCTGGAAGCTTTTCAAGACAAGTTATGTTCTTGTCCACCGCTACACTACTGTTACAAAACAGGCGTATTTTTTGCGTCGGACTGTCAAACGAATGCGCGCGGTCTTTGAACGAAAGGTCTGGAGCGAGTGCGAAAACGGAGAGTGGCACTCGCCTCACACGCGGGAGGCTAACGCGCTTCGCACGCGAGAATCCACGCTTTCGGCGCTTCGCGCCTTGCGACCATCGAGAAAAAACGACTGTTTTGTCAGTTTTGCAGTCTACACTACTCTAAAAGATACGGGGAAAGCCTACATATATGTCTCGCCGGCGAAAAAGGTGTGACATTTTACTTAACTGTCTAGATACACTATAGTGTGCACTACACTTTACACTACAAGTGAATAAACAACAGCCTACGTGCAG